ATCAAACAATTTCTAGAAAATTGGTCACTTCGATAAGTTACAACTCTGTGCCGGCGATGGCACCTCTTACTGACGATGGCGGCGAAACGTCTGGAAATGTACCAGGTCAATGGTCCGATGCTGGAAATCATAAATAATATGGCAGAGGACATAAGACAAGATACGTATCACGAGGTCTACTGATTGCTGTGATCAAGTTGCGAAAACGAGTTCCAACAATTTTTATACAAAGAAAGGAGACCTCGAACCAAATGAAAGCTATGCCCCCTTGGTCTTTATATATTGTATGTAGTATATTTAAAAAATGAGAATGAATGAAAGGGATTGAAAATCATAGAGCAAGATGAAATTTCTTGCAATTATATGTGAATTGATTTGATTTAAAATGATATAATCGTAGAGCTTATCTAGTACTAGAATGAGTCTGCAAGCGGGCCCTCCCTTTTGATGAAGGGAATCTGGCTATATAGTGCATATATTTATTTTTTTTGAAAAGAGAATAGAAAAAAACCCAGAAAATAACGTTGATACAGTGAAGCTATTAAAGTCAAGTAGAACCATCACAAGTCATAGATTTGGCACTAGGGATAAAAGAAACGGTGGTGGCCATTTCTAATTAGCTATTAGTAGATACGTATGCTCATATACGTGGTCCATGAAGTAAAGGTTTGACCACGGGATTTACTCGGTGCGCATGCTGCAAAGCGATAAGGAAATCTGCAGCGTCAAGTTAGATTATCATGCCAATTGAGAATCCAGACTTCAGGGGCTTGCTTGAGTAGCACGGATACGGTGGCAGTGATTGTCAATGAAAAAGCATATAAGAGGAGGATACTACGGAGCAAGAGGGGGACTCTGATAGGACCCGAAGGAAGAGGATTGCGGATTAAACCGCAGCCTTGGATCAACACTCCCGGCACAGTGTAAGGGATGTGGAAACCAGCGGGGAGTGTGAATAAGTTTCAAATATGTTTAGATAAACAAGTAAGAAATTATGATATTCAAGGGGTGATACGAAGATATAGGGTAGGTTAAAAGCCCGGGACAGAAGGAGAAATACCACAACGGTTAAGCGCACAATTGGTCAAAGGATCGACTTCACATAAGGATGGCAAGGCTCACTGAAGATGCCAGCGAAATGTCTGGGAATGTACAAAGCCCACGGTCCGACTCTGGAAATTATCATGCATACTATGGACTCCGGACAAGGTGCGTTCCTCTAGGTCTTCCTGCCAATATGACCAGATTGCAAAAACAAGGTCAAACAACTTTTAAACAATTTTGATAACATAGAAAGTAATTCTAGCTAATATTCGGACCCTAGGCTATGATCTGTTTAAAAGAGAATGTGAGTAGTCAAAATAAATGCAAATATAAAGTATGTGTTAGCTCAGAAAAATGAAGTAGAATTATTGGAAGCGTTAGCCTAGTAATTTTAGTATAAAGGATCTTACGTTAAAGCTATTGCTTGATAAATAACTAGGTATCCAATAAATACAACTATATAAGTTTTCAGAATACTGTCTTAACATAGGAGATATTTTGTTGGAGCAAGCCTTTGAACAATAAATTTCGAAAAGTCTGGGAAAGTTAAATAGGATAACCAAATGTCCTATACTAAAAAGGTTGAGTCGTATTTATTCATATACCATACTGTATCTTCAAAATAACAAATTTAGAGATAAATCAGAAGTAGTATTTAAGTATAGCCCTCGAGTCGTTGAATATTCTAATGTAGAGAATATAGTAGCTTAATTCCTCAAATTACTGAATTATGTATCTTTATTATAGGAATAGAGGTACTATTAGAAAGTATTAATTAAGATAAATAGGTCATTGCTAAGTAATGAAAATATGAAAACAGGTTGCTACTTTGATCATACCCTGATCTCACACAAGTGCTGCTGGGAGCATCCGAATAATAAAATCCAGTGGTGGGGCTAAGAGGATGCTGCGAAGTAACCACAACTGCCTGAAGAGATATCTGCTGCCCCTGGGACAATTTTTGTTGCCCGGCCTGACTCAACGGATGGCCAAGAGAGCTTGCGGCTCGCTGTTCCAATTGACTTAGAGGAAGACCACTCTCATCGGCCAACTGAAAATGCGGTATTAGACGAAAAGTGAATAAGGATAAAGGAATAAAAGATAATCTAATCAAATAAAATACCACCAAAGCAACCACATGCATTATAGCTGAGTTTGTGCAATTACTATAAAAATAAGGGCGGATAAGCAGATAAACACATAAAAATTGTCATCGAGCTTAACGCCAAACAAAATACCAGTATAAATTATATGAGGCGCAGTCAATAAGCGAAGGAATGTTGCAAATTAATATGGTTTTGGGAAAGTTTTCGACACTACCAGTAAATCAGATCTATGAGTCATGCGGAAATAGGGTAGACAATGATTATTATGTAGGTTTTTAAAAAAAAGCTATTTGGAAAAGTAGCTTAGTTACTCCCTATTCAATAAGCTCACCAGCAAAGCACACATTGTAGATTAGCATCAAAATTCTTAATGATGATTGAAGTAGCTGATTCACAAGTGTTTTAAGTATACTTAGCTTGAAGAAGGAATAATGAAATTAGCGAGTCTGGCAACAAGACATCTAAATGTCTCCCAAACAATGATAATGGAGTAAAAAGGAATTCAAAGCCCTTCACAGAGAAAGGCGGACAAAGGAGGAGCTACAGTGATAATGGACAAAAAAACAATATACCGAGAAGATGGAACAAATTCTACGAAACAGGACCACATATCGTATACTGAACAAGGACCCAACTATGAAGATCAATGGAATCTTAAGTGACATGCTAAAGATATGCATAAGAATGGGGAAATTGAAGCATGAAAAAGAAATTAAATCATAAGAAAGGATGTACGACCACCAACAGCCTACGGATTAATAAAGATAAGCAAAGAAGGCAAACCACTAAGGCTGATAGTCAACAACAAATAAGAAGCAACACAGAAATTGGCAAAGTTTATATGTTTGAAACTCAAGAAATAAATGAGAGGCTATCAAACACGGTGAAACATTCATATGAATTTTCTCAAAAAATCAAAGACATGGCACTGGAAGAAACGGAATTATTGGTAAGTTTCGATGTGGAATCCATGTATATAAATATCCTTGGATAAAATGCGCTAACAACCCTGCTGTAAATCCTGGACCGAGAGGAGGATATCCTGGAATCACAACGGATTAGGAGGGAGTCATTAACATGACTAATCAACTTGGCAATAAGGACAACCTATTTTACATTCAACGGGAACATCTATGAAGAAATATTTGGACATCCCATTGGATCGCCGCCCTCACCACTTTTGGCAAACGTATACATGAACAGAATAGAAGAGAGCTTCAAGATGGCACCACTACAACCAGCAGTACTCATGCGATACCTTGATTACTTCGCAATTCGGTGACACGGAAGAGAAAAACTAGAAGTGTTTCTGCAGTTTGTAAACCAGATTGATGAACAAATTCAATTCACGATGGAAGTACAGGAAGGTGAGCGGTTACCATTCCTGGATGTTAAAGTGATTCGCTTTAATGGGACGCTCAAAAAGAAATTGTTCAAAAGAAGTCCTATGCTGGAATAATACCCAATTTAGGGTCCAATCACAATTACAGGCTAAAGATAGGAATAATAAGGAGCATAATCATCCGAAGCCTAAACTTAACGGATGTAGAATTCTGGGACGAGGAGCTGGACAAATTGATTAGGATATTCCTCGGCAATGGCTAACCAAGTAAAGTGATACAAAGAAACATAATGGCAGTGAAAAGCTGATGGCAGAACGGGGACTATGAAAGAACAGTAACGACGATGAAGGATTAACAAAGTGGATATGTCTACCTTCCTGCGAACTAACTTATAAACTCCCGGAAATTTAGAGTACATGTAATATTTCGGTGGCCATGAAAGAGAAATCAACACTTTTAACAAATTTACCGACGCAATATGAAAAATGTAGACAAATTGGAGTTTACTGTATATCATGTGGTGCATGCAAAGATAAATATATTGGCGAAACAGGAAGAAAAATTAGCATACGAATCAAGGACCATCAAAGGCTCTGCAGCAAAATGGATACCGAAAGATCAGAATTAGCGGAATACATCGCACAGACTAGTTTCGAAAAAACAGTACAACTTTGGGGGTCTGGCAGTCAGGGAGCTAGGCGGACAGATAAGCAAACCGTCACAGAAATTCGAGGTTATGGTCAAAATGTACTAGAAATCCACCTAAAATGCCTCATGCGACCAGAGATAGGCGTCCGCAGTTTGCTCAGGTTACACGGGTTTAATCAAGAAGACGCCCCGTGAGGGCAATGCCTGAGATCTACAAGC